CCATTTTATCCCCCCAAAAAAAAGCTAAAATCAGAGATATTAATTAAAAACTAGGAAAAACGCCCGCCCTCATTTTTCCGAGTGGCAACGGTCTCGCAAGCTGGAGATGAAATCTGCTTTTTCGAAAGTTGTTGCCACTGCTCGCTTTCAAATCCTAGAATTTGTTAATAAAAAAATTCTAAGTTTTACGATGAAATAAAAATAGCATTGCCAAACATTAAATACACGATTCCCGAATTCCAAAAATTTGTGCGAAGCTACTTTCGACCATTCCCAATCTTCGTACGACTTTAATCAGCCGAAATATTAATTAAAAACCATGAAAGCGCTCATTTTCGCTCTCATTTTTCCGAGTGGCAACAGTGTCGCACGTTGGAGATAAAAATGCTTTATTTTGAAAAGGTTGCTACTGCTCGCTTTCAGATCGTAGAGTTCGTTAATAAAAAATTTGTAAGTTTTCAAAACCTATACTATACATACAGTGTCTCACAAAAGTCTTTGGACACTTTAAGAATTTGCAGAGAAAGAGCTGTAACCCAGAACTAAATTCGAATATAAAACCTAATATTTTTTCATACTATCTCCATGTGATTTTGAAAAAACCCAAACATTTAAATTTTTAATACTGAACATATTTTCTTTCTCTAAAATTGAAAATGTAAAGAGGCATAGATAAAACACACCACAAAAGTGATCGTACACCGAAACATTTTCGTAAAATTTCATAAATAAAATTTACCTCTACCATATTTTAAAATTATTTTTGCATTTTGGTGACGTTTAAAAATTGTTTTGCTTTATTTTTTACTTGCTTACTTCGTTATATTTCATTTAATGTTTAAAATTGTTTCGTAGTCATAAGGAAGCAACGCACAGCATTTGAAAATTGATCACTTTTTTATCATAAGGATGGAAATTCGATTCAGAATATCACTGAATTAATAAATTTACCCTATTCTACCGTGCAGTATGTGATAAAATGCTCTAAAGGAGAACATCGGATCCAAAAACAAAGTAAGAAGAGGTTGTCAGGCAATGAGGATTCGTCGTGGCTCAACGTGATTAGAGATTTATTGTTAGAAAAATCTGTGAAAAGTTCACGTTTGGGAGTTGTAAAGAAGTCTGCAGAATTTACTGAAAAATTTTCTAGTTCAATTTCACTGTTCGACGAATGCTCAGATCAGCTGGATTACATGGTCGCACTACTCGAAGAAAATTTTTTTGGAAGTGCCAAACACAGAAAGCTTAGGCTTTTCTCCTCAATATCAATGGTAAATAAGCTCGAAGTGTTTTGGAATCATGTTTTATTTGCACATGAAAGCAAATTTAACATTTTTGTTTTCTATGGGCGCATAATTGTATGGAGAAAAAAATGAGGAGCTTAATCACAAGATCTTGGCTGAAATAGTAAAGCATGCTGGTGGAGATGTTCTAGTGTGAGGGGTGCATATCAGCATCAGGATTGAATAATTTACTATTTATTGATGGCACAATGAATTCTGCTATTCATTTAAAATTTGGATTCTTGAGTCAACTTTATTTTGTATCAAGGTAACGATCCTAAACACAGTGCCCACAACGTTCGCGTTTTGGGTGTGCATGATTGTCCACAGGTTCTGAAAACACCACCTCAGTAACCAGATTTAAACCCAACAGAACACATTTGGAGAGGATTAGAGGTTAGAATACGAAGACATAATATTAAAACAAATACCGAACTAAAAACAATAATGATGAAAGAATGAAGGAACATTGACGCAGATATTACAAAAACCAATGGTTAACTCTATGCCCAGACGTTTGAAAGCTGCCATAAATACTGCAGGATATACTACAAAATACTAACTGGCAGAAATACTACAATAGTTACTTATAGAGTGCAGATTTCTTCAACATGTACGAAGGTTTTTGTGAGGCAACTTTTCTGTTACCTTATTATTATTAATTTTTCAAAAAATTTTAATATGCTCATAAAATAATTTGTGTAATTTTGTTAAGAGAAATTTATAGATATTATTAAAAAATTTCATTCTAAAAGATTAATTTTTATTAATGAATAAAGCAATATTTCACTGAAACTTGTAAGTGTTTCACTGAAACTTGTAAGTGACAAAAGTACACTTGTAAGTGCACTTTTGTCAGCCACTGTATAAAGAAGAATGTCTGTTTGTGTGTTTGGTTGTTCGCGTTATTAATTTCTGATCAATTATGATGAATTTTTGCCACATTTAATAGACTAAAATTGAATATAGGTGAAATATTGGGTGGAACTTGAGCTTTTACGACCATTTGATTCGAAAAATGAAAATCATTAAAAATTGCGCACCACTGTTGCTGATGTAATGAGAGAGTATCAGTTTATTTTTCTATCGAAATTTTTTATATGGGCTCCATATCGCATCAGTCTGAAAAATGTATGAGAGTCGTATTTTTTGCATCATTTTTAGAGAAGGATTACAGCGGTGTCGTTCTCTCTGTTGTTAGATGCATTACTCTCAGTCTAACGTAACTGGCATCTGGTACTTCCGCTAGTTATCAATAAAAACCACACGAAAATAATTATGACATTGGTTGTTATCTGTGATGTTAATATTCTTCATTGCATCTTCCGAAGGCAACTTCTTTAATGCTAATAATTCGTGATCGTAACTTTTTTTAGTAAACAAATTGAAAATTTTTTTAGACAGAGCCCGGTTAACTTGCTGCCGTTAATCGGGAGTTTATAATATTTTATGAAATTATTAGTTCTATTATTAGAAATTATTAGTTTGATGTTTCACATAAGGAGTCTAGGAAAAAAGTACTTAATTGATGAGATAATTAGGTTTGGTTTGTTTAATTATGATAAAGCATTCGAGGTCTAATCTGTAAGGGAAGGCAGTACTTAAGGGAAACTTGCTGATTGTTACACATGGGGGAAATCACGAAACGCCAATGCTGCCAGCTCGTTCGCTGAGATTTGAACCCCGAGCTTAATTAGACACTGACGTATTCTCGCAACAATCTTAGTAAAAATAGCCAAAATTTTAGAATGCACCATAACCTGGAAATCACGTGGGGTAACAGTTCTTCAGACAACCATCAGCACCGTCTTAAACTTCTTCTTAACCATCAAAAAGGTTTTACTGACAAATCGTGAAATCCTTTGTTGTAAACTCAATTTAAAAATATGTGCTTATTGGATTTTGTTACAGTGTGAGAACCTACAATAGGGTTTTAGCAGGAATGTATATTGTATTTTGGCTCAAAACTGCTAACAGAAACAGTTGTTTTGATAGCTAAGATAATCTGAATATGGCAGAGCATACAAAGGCCATTTACCAAAGAGGAGGAATGCCTTCGTGCAGGATTTTCTAATTCTTAGGTTAGACTAATTGATTAAGGCAAACGAATGCAAGGGCTATCTGCCTGTGGGAAGCCATGCCTTCATGGAGGACTTTCTAGGGGAATCTCGCTCATAATCATGTTTCACATGGAGGAGAATCAGCCATGCAGTCAACAAGTACGCGTGGGTTCCAACATGGGTCGACCAGTATTCAGCTGTCTTAATCCTTCGGTCACTGGTATGGCAACAACTGTTTTGAATCAGAGATTGGTATGGAATTTCCACCAGAATAAAAGAATGAAAAGCCTGCTGATTGGTAATTTTATTGACTGAGCATCTTTACTGAAATAACTCATCAGCGGTCAAGTGGTGAAGTCGCTGAACACCGGTAGTTTGACTTGGGTTCGATTACAGAAGAACAGTAATTCTACACGGGCGTTTTCTCGGTTTTCTCCATGCGTAAATTCGATAGGAGCCAGCTTCCCTTAGAAAATCCTCCACGAAAGCATTCCTCCCTCTAGAGCAGGGTCTCCTAAAATGGGGGTCGCGGGACCTGCAGCAGGGGGCGACAGAAATTTGAGGAGTTTTGTTATTTCTCTAACTATTATAATAATTTTACAATTACCAAGTATTTTTACGCAATGTATCTGAAAATAGATAAAGATAAGACAATATAGACAAAGGAAAAAACGAAAACGTTTTGACGCGTTCTTTTTATAATATAAAAGTTCATTTTCCTTGCTTTGTAGGTGACGCTGTCATTTCGTCTGTTACTTATTTAAAATTTTCACACTGTTCTATGTCTTAAAATTAGGAATTAAAGGACCTAAAACTGCAATAGTATATTACAGCACAAGTGAAAAAATTGACAGTTTCACTCACGTGCGTGTCGGATTTGCGCAATACTTATAGGGTCCCATAAAAGTTTTGTAAATATTTTGAGATCTTGGGGGTCGCAAAAAAATCTCAGTAGTGATAAAAAGGAGGTCCCGACTGAGAAAAGTTTAAGAAACCCTGCTCTAGAGAGATGGCTCTTGAGTGCTTTGCCATAATCAAATAAACCAAACCATGCATTTATTGAAATAAATAAAATACCTAATGATATTTTTGCATGTAATTTTTTAATAAGGCATTCTTTTGCTTCTTTATCGCCAACAACGTAATTCGCCAACAACGCGAAAGTATTGGCGTTGATATTTAAGTAACCTTAATTAATATCCTGGGATATACATATAATAATGATCTCTGGTTAATACATCTGTCGAGAAGTAGCTGTTGGCAAATTAAAGCAAGCGTCGAGGAGATTTTTGAACTTCCTATTGGAGAGATTAAAAAAAAAGTGTAGCGAAAATGGTTTTTCGATCCCTCCGCCTCCGGACCCTCACATCATGGAATTCCAAACACATTAACTTTTTTTTTCTTCAGACAGCAGCAGTTTGACAAGAGGGGCACTTTAAAGGTTACTTAACGGGAGAAGATTAGAAGTTTCTGCTTCCTTACTGTCAGTATGCGTATCTAAATCTGGTTCAGATATGAAGTTCCAGTTTCGAAATTGATGGATTGTGAAGATTCGATAGTGTTACAGGTCACTCAAGATCATCTTATGGACTTATTTTTTTACACAAACCTTGTTTGTGTGTCTTTCCTCTGCCATATTTCAAGACTTGCTTAACTGATAAATAGCTCGTAACTGAGAAGATTTACTTCCTTGTGGTGCGCAAATACTTCGTTTATATTGGACCATGAGTTCTTCAATTGAATATTCCGATGAACTGCGCATTAATTTCTTCTTGAAGCAGTAAAATTTTGCAAAAACTATGAGGTAACTAATTAAAAAAAATATTTATTTATTTATTTTAAATTTGATCGCAATCTTTTTTACTGTCATGCAATTTAGAATGTATGTTCTGGATATAAGATAAAAGCAATGAAATGACCAAAAGTCTGAAAATCAGAATTATAGTAATTTCAGGTAACTGTCAGAGCTATGGAAAATATTTTATGTTGGTTAAGCTGTTTGAATAATATCTGGGTAGAATTTCGATTTTTTAAGGGAATACATTTTAAGGGAATTTAAGTTTTTAAGGGAATACATACCCTTAATACATCGCGGGGAAAAATTCAGTACTTAAAAATGAAGTATATTTTCATATTTTTAATTCAGAGAAACTTTAAAAGAAAAGAATATATTAATATTATTTAAGTTATATTAGACTAAATATTCTAATGAACTGTACATTAATTCCTTCTTGAAACAGTGAAGTTTTGCAAAATCTATAAGGTAACTAATTAAAACAAATATTTTTTAGCCCAAAGGGGTAATTTATTTCGTTTCGGCATTTTGCCTCGTCTACAATAAAACGGCGTTTGACTTTTCAAATTTTTGCCACCAAATATGAGAACCCTACATTATATTTCAAGAAATTAAATAGTGGAGAAGCTACATGAATGTATGTACGTTTCTCGCATTGTGAAAAAGAACGGTATCTGGGGACATGAAACTTTGAACAGCGTAGTCCTTCACTCGAATGTGGGCATCTGGAAGCCCAAATTTGGAATTAGGAATTTGTTTTAGCATCTATTTCATATTTTGCAAAACTTTATATCGGATATTCTAAAGATATGCATTTTAAAAATATTTTGTGATATTGCTGTTAAATTGAATTGTATGGTTTAAGTGCAAAGAACATCATATTTAATAAATAAATGTAACACACAAAATGTTAAAAATCATAGTATAAAATTTGAAAGCTTTCAGATTTTTTAAAATTTATTTAATTTGTTTGCAAAGAAATTAAGTTTATTAATCTTCTGACATTTATTCATTTATTTATTTTTTAACTTTATGGCAATCTTTTTTATTGTCATGCATTTTAGGATTTATGTTCTGAATATTGAATGTCAAGATAAAAACAATATATCAGAATTTTTGAATATCAGAACTCTTGTAATTCCAGATAACTATTATCCTTATGAATAATATTTTATACTGATTAACCTGCTTATGTAAAATCTCGCTAGATGAAGAAAACCATTCCTTTAAAAGATGCCATTGCAAGAAACGTGTTAGAAACAGTGGTGTAAGAAATGGTAGGCAAAGAACGCCGTCGCATAGGTGCCCGAAGGCTAAAAGGGTCCTTGAATGTCTTGCTCAACTACATTCACGTGATTAAACTTAAAAGAAGACGCATTCTTTTATATATACTATGACCAAGGGCAAGGTGCCCTCGTAAAATTTGAATTCAGTGTTACATATACCAAAATGTCGGGTATCATATTTTAACGGAAATATCCCTTTTGACCGTTCCCAAATCCATTTGGACGTGTTTTTTTTTCCGTGACATCTGTACGTACGGACAGAATAAAGGGCCCTTCCTTTCAAGAAAGGATTATGCATTGGTTTAAAATGGATTCCGTGACATCTATGCATTCGCATATACGTACATAGGTATATCTATCTATATCTATCTTAAATGGATTTAAGATCATACAACATTTGATATGCTAAATAGCAGCTATTAGCGCTATTTATCTCTTGCCTAATGTACCCACTTTATATATTATCTCCATTCTTTTTTAAGTTTTAAAGTTCTTATACAAAAACTTTACTGTATTGAAGGTTAGCAGCCTCCTTAATTTTATTCTTCATGATGATTTAACTCCAGTCCCCGTTAAAACATTATTAACATTTTGCTTTCAAATTACTTCAAAACATCTTTCAAAATATAACTTACCAGTAAGGATTCATTCTTTTAAAATAATTCTGCTTTTATTAAACTTAGGAGATAATATAATCAATTAATCAATACTGTTTAGGAAATATATAGATAGATAGATATAGATAGAGATATATATCTCGCATAACTCAATGACGATTTGCCGTAGAGCGTTGAAATTTTGTATATGGGACTGCTATAATATCTAGTTTGTGCACTTCACTTTTTTATTGCAATTGGCAGAACATATATCCACCCCCCTTACCCGGCTTAAAAGCCCATACCCGAGCTTTATTTTTGCAGTCTTTGGTCGTAGTCATAGCTTTCCATTCAGAAGACTCCCAGGACAAAAAATGTTTTGGCAATGTCAAATTAAAAAAAGAAAAATACATAATTTTCGACATATAAACCAAATTTAAACTTTCCTCCGGGTTTATGTTTGGAAAAGTGTTATACTCATAAAAAAATAAATTGCAAGAAGTTTTGACTTGTGTGCAACAAAAACTGACCGGGATATATAGTTCAAAATTTTCAGTTTTTGATGTCATTTTCTTCTTGCCGTTGGTCGGTTAATTAAATTTGAGTCATTCAAGGAATTAAGTTTAGACGAAGCGTAGCAAAAACTGTGTATATTTTAATACAAGAAAGTCATGTGGTTTCCATATCAGATTTTTTAATTATTATCTGATAAAAATCATCATCAAAATTTTGGCTTCTCGCCACTGGTTAGAAATCCATGGTATACACTTACTTGGGTTTTGTACATTACGGATTGTGAAATTAGATTATTTTTCCCTTCAACTTCCGATTTTGTTTTAATTCAATCTAAAATATACGTAGACAGCCTATGTATGCAAATGTGCTACTAATCTTGAAATATGTTGTAAAAATAATTTTTTTTGGCTACAGGAATATTTCCAAAATATATGAATATTTGCTGCAATGGCTATTTTGATACCAGAATTACATTAATAGAAAAATAATTTTTTGGTTTAGTGAATTTAATTTTTTTTCGAAATTTTCAGAATTGACTTTGTTGACACATTAGGAATTTTTGGAAGCAGGAAAGATGAAAAATGACCAATGCCCTTGCCGGGACTGGAACCACGAACTCTCGAATACGCGCCGAGCGTGCTGACCACTACACCCCGAAAGCATGCTAAGAAGGCGGGAGAAATTCCTTATATACTTTCCCTTTTAAAGGGCGATTGGAAATTAGGGGACCCAGTCGCCAAATCCTGGTGGTAGAGAATATCATCCACCACCTTTTTTAGTTCGGGCGCCACTGTATAGACATTTGGTATTTTTTGAAAGCAGGGAGGATGAAAAATGAGCAATGCTCTTGCCATGATTGGAACCACGGACCTCTCGAATACGCGCCGAGCGTGCTGACCACTACACCACAAAGGCATGCTATGAAGACTAGAGAAATACCTTATAACTTTTTCTATAAAAACTACCATTATTTAACGTTTTCACATTAGTTACACAGTTACACTGGGAGATTTGTGTTCAAATGTCACTTTCGTCAATTTTTTTTGTCTTCAATGCACTGCTATTTTTTTTGAGGGGGGGAGTAGAAATAAAGGAAACAGCTTTATATATCTTCCCATTTTGAAATAATTTGCAAAATATATTTTATTCTTTTAGGTGTCATGCCCAGTAATATTTTGTATCGTTCGCGAGAAACTTATTTTTTATTCTTAGTTTTTTTTTGTTTGTTATGTATAAAGCTCACTTGCTACATGTACATTTTTATATCTCTTTCTTGAAGCAACATCTGTTATATATATTGCGATTCAAGCAGATGAAGCCTACGTGAGGAACTGAAAAATACCAAGTCTTTTTCTGGAAGCTTGGAACTTGTGAAGGAAAGCGAAGAGAGGGAAAAAAAAAAGTTGAATATGAAATTGAACTGAACTGCATTTCAGAGTGAAAAATAATAAACATGCAACTGCTTGCAGCAAGAAAGCTTCATATTCGGAATGTTTTATAAATTTCCATTTTATTTCTGTCGAAATGCCAACGTTATATATTTGAGTTAGCTACATTTCATATAAACTAAAAGTTACTGGAGTTTTAATCTTTTAAGACGAACAGTCATAGGAAAAACAAAAACTTCCAATTAATGACAAATTAGTTTGGAATATTTTACAATCTGGTCTTGTGATCTTATGTAGGTGTTCTAAAGTTTTTCTAAGAAACCACTAAATACTTTGTTTTGCGAAGAGAAAGCCGATTGAGAACAATGATATTTAAAAAACTTGCTCAGTGATTAAATTATGGAACAATATTATTGAAATATCTTTTGCTCGTATTCGAATTTTTATCTTTGATATCATTTGTACAATAGTTTGGATGGAAGACTTTCAACATTTTTAAAAGCAAAGATTTCAGAAGTTGTTTTATATTTTTCCTACATATGAGAACATTATTATTATCATTAATGCGCGCAGCCCTAGTCCACCTAGTCTACATAAGCCGGCCATATGGACTAGAAGGAGGACCGGAACGCAATCTCATGGACCTCCGACCTAAGGTTCTACACCAATCAGAGTTATATATGTCCATGCGACGGAAAAGAATCTACCATCCACCGCCAGCGGCATTCACTGAATCAATGATAGTAATATTACAATGCTAAATTGACAATGTCATCTATACAATAATTATTACATAATAATCCGTATGAAAAATAAATATACGATCAATTAAAAATTACATTGTCATGGATAGGATCTATGTTGTGGAGAGTGGAACTTATATATTAACCAGTTTTTAAACCTATGTCTTCTTCAATACGTCATAACTTCATGTTCGTATCAGTTACTAATGATGTGTGTCCGTATTATTTTTGCAGTTATCCACAGAGTAAGCCAGTCACATCAGTTCAGGCAGTTGATAGTTCCATAGCCCAAAGTACATGATGTTGTGTAGGATATTCAATGTTCATATAAACTGAATTCTAAATTAACTTTTTATAAATTCGAAGTACACTTTTGTTAAGTTCATTGTTCAAGTAAATACTACTTGTCCACTTCGATACATCATAACTTCGTGTCCTTATAACAGTTTGTGCACACCTCATTATGTGTGTCCATAGCAA